TAAATAGAAATGCACACTGTTTTTCAAAAAGCTGTATGCATTGCTTCATAATTTAACCATGAATATCTACAGTGGAGTCTATTACTGGAGCACATAGTCATGACAAAAGCTTCATACACCATCCATAAGGGTCCATCTGCTTTCAACCCAGTAACAGGCTTTGTTAATGGGTTGTTATGGTTTATTTAAGTTTGCTGTGCCTGTCAAGATGGAACCATGTTTTTATTTGTTCTCTTATTCCCAAGCCTATTTAGTGGAAGATGTTTGCTTTTTTTTTTTTAAAGTTTGAGAAGGTAAAGAATACCAAAAATGGACAGATGAATATGCCATTTATCGTACATAGCACATATTTTTTAATGCTTGCTTTGTATCAAGCAATGTTCTCGAAAGATGGGATATTAAAATGACAACACGGGATGTTCCAGACCTCAAGGGGTCTTAATAACTTTATGAACTGGGTAAGCACAAAAGAAAAAAATCTCAAGTCATTATGAAAGCTGCCATCATGGACAGATCTACACACAGGGTATAGTGGGACCAGTGTCTCACCTGTGCTGAGTGTTAGAAGGTGACTAGGAAGTTGTCAGGGAAGTAAATTATTTAAGGGTGGCTGGGGCATAAAGGATGAGATGGGAAGAGCTGGACACTTAGGGAAGATCCAGAACCTCATAAGGTTTTTATGTAATACTGAGTAGTTTTGGTATCAGCGAAGGTGACAGGGAGCCATCTTGAGCAAATGGATAAATTTTGGGTGTTTCATATTCTCTTGGCTAGCTGGGTGTAGGGTAGATGGTGGAGGATAGCGAAGGAGCAAGCTGGAAACAAAGCACCCGGTAGAGAATATGTCCAAATAGTCTGGAGGACTGGGGATGTAGCTCTGGACGAGGGCAGCGAAGAGCTTATGAACGAGTTATTTATGAAGTGAAATTTTTAAAAAAATGTTGTAATCATTGACAACCACCAGCAGTGACATATTCTTGTGGATTCAGTGCCTGCTGGGTGACCTTTTCCACGGAAAGAGTAGCAATCCTGCCTGCTGTTCTACGGCTTTTTCTATTTGAGAAATTGAACATCAGAGTTTTTAATGCAAACTTATATAAGTAGCTGTGCATCACCAACCAAGGGGATTAGTCCCAAGCTGCTGTGGCATTTGTCATCAGTTCTCGAGCCTCAGCATCCAGGAGCCCATTGAGTCCTGGCCATTGCACTTACAGTTCAAGTGAGCTGTTCTGCCAGGTGCTGGAGTCACAGGCAATGGGTTATCGTGATTAAGAAGCTGGGCTTCGTGTTGGAACCCCAGAACTACGGTTTGCTTCAACTCTCACTTCTGAACTACATTTCACTGTTTATGAAATAGAGATTAGAGGACCCACTACTGAGAGTTGTTATTAGATTGAATGAGATACTGTCTGAAATCCACACATTCCATCGTTGAACTAGACTCTCCCTTTCTCTTTTATGTTTAACGTATGCATTATTTTCATTTTCTCAGAAAGGCTACCATCTCAGTTTCTATTTCCCCTTTCACCCAGGAGTTATTTCACAGCTTTTAAAAATCCAAGAAGAAAGGTTTTCTGCACTTCGATTTTGCAATTTGTTTTCCACTTTTACTCCACTATCATCAGAGAATGTCATTTAGAATATTCCTACCTCAAGGAGTTTATTGCACTTTTTGTGAGCTAATCTATAGTTAATTTTGTCAGTGTTCTATCTGCATTTAGAAAATGGGATTTTCTACATTTAGAAAAGGGAAGTGTGTTCTTTATTATCAGTGTACAAAGTTTGTGATGTATCCAGATCTCCCTTGTTAATGACGTTGTTTGGGTCTTTTAGATCTTTACTGATCTTTTGTCTACTTGCCCTATCTTGGACCGAGAGTGGCATGTTGAATTACCTAATAGTACATTTCGATTTCTTCTTGCATCTTCTACAAAGGCCACTGCTGTGTTATTTGGGGTGCATCCACAACTGTTGAATGTTCCTTGTGAACCCTGGTCTTCAGCCTCAACCAGTTCTTTGTCCTGTTCTGTGTTTTCAGTCTGCATCTTACCCTGTCATATATCAAGATCAAAAGTGGTCATTTTTTTTTTTTTTTTTTTTTTTTGCTGTCATTGCTGTTAGTTTATATTTGCCTTGTACGCTTTACCCATCTCTTTGCTTTTTGCCTTTTAAAATCACTTCGTGTTAGGTGTGTCTTGTGTTCAGCACGGAGTTGAGTCTACATTTCTGACTAGTACATTATACTCTGCCCAGCATGTAACCAGAATTCCATTAAATATTTGTTTCCTTTTTCTTTTCTTCTCTTCCTCGACCAGGGTCAAGATTCACCTAAAACCATAATCTTTTCCCCCCAGCTTTGTTGAGGTATAACTGACAAAATTTTAAGGTATTTAAAGTGTATAGCACGGTGATTTGATACACATATACATTGTGAAAGGTCAATCTCATTATCAGCAGTTCTGGGTCTATCTGGACGGAAGTCTCCTCCTGGACCCTCTGGCTTAGCTGGATTCTCATTTTCAGTCCTGCCCTGAGGTTCTCATACCCTAGCAGGATAGGCTCTCCCACACCACCTCATCAATGGTGGATTGAAGACCACTGATATAAAAGTTTAAAGATGTATTCCCTCTTCTGGCTTGACATATGAAGTCTCCAGTGTTTGAACTAAGGCCCGATGTGTCCCAAAATATTCTTTACAATAGAATTTGGTGCCTTAGGAGAAGTTACAGTATATAGACCACAGCTGGAATGAACCCTAGAAATCATCTACTTAAGCTCTCTCCCCAGGCATGAATCTCTCCTACGATATTCCACATTTTCTAGTCTCTGCATTTTTCTGGTTAACGGCAATCTGACACTGTCACCCACACTGTAGGCTTGCATTCAAAACCCAGCAAAACTGTGTATTAGCCATACGATGCCTGGAACTTCTATAAGAACTGAGCCTCAGTTTTCATCTACAGAATGAGGACAATGAGAGAAACTCAGAGGGCTATTTAGAAGACTAAGGAGGGTTACAGTTTTAAGTACCAGGCAGATAACTAATGGAATCCCCCAAGTGTGTGGCAATAGGAGTGCTGAGGGGAATTCATTCCCTTATACAAGGAGAAGCCTCACCCAGGCTCCTGCAGATTGGAAACCTGCCTGCAGCAACGTGGGCCTAATAATTTCCCCAGATCTATCCATTTTTCTAGAAAAGCAGAGATCTGGCTTTTCAATGTGAAATTTCCCAATGATTCAACGTGGGAAGTAGTTCGGATTTCTTGAACACACTAGACGGATCCTATCTGTCGTCTGGGTACGCCTAGAGGCTGCGACTTTGCAGTCTCTGGTCTGAAGTAAATCAGCGTAACGCCCAGCACAAGATAGGCACTCCATACACTATGAATTCACCGGATGTAACCCCTTAGACATCAGACTCTGGCAGAAAGGACTTGTCCGTCTGATTTGGTAGCTAAGAGACCAGGAAAGATCAAACGCAGAGTAACCGGGGCATCAACTGAAGGCCCAGGGAAAGCAGCAGAAATTGAAGGGGACAAAACAGAACAGGTTAGAGCGGCTCGTGGAGGAATGGAAGAATTCTGCCTCCTTGCCCGTCTGCCTGCTCCAACTCCTCTTTGGCTGATACTTCCCACTCTCTCCTACAACCGCTGCTCTGATCCCTGGGCAGACAGAACCGGCATGGGAGGAGTGGGGGGAGCAGGGTGGATCCTCCAGCTGCTGGAGTGAGAGAGGCTAGCAGCTTCTTTAGAGTAAGCTTATTAGGAAGGGACCGAAAAACGCTTTGAGCTCTAAGCTGAGGAGGCAACTTCCTCCCTATCCCTATTCCCTTTGGCTCCTCCCCATCAGCAACTCAGAGCCGAGCCAAATACATCCCACTCACGTAGGCGGCAGCTGTCCCACACGTGTTACAAACAAGGGCCACTAGAGCTGTCCCTGTTTTTAGCACTTGGGTGTGTCTGCCAAGGTCACCAAGATTCCCCGTTGACTGGCTCCATTCCTCTCCCTCTCCTCTGCATGTCTGTTATTTTCCTCCAAGGTAGATGTTTTCTGTTCAGACGAGTTAAAGCAAGATGTCTGGGGGAACAGGGACCCACATATTTGCTGGTCTTGCTGGACTCCTTATAATTTCCATGCATTGGGTGATAGATCTATCCCGAGGCATGAGAAATCGTGTGCAGACTTTTGAGAAATAGCACTCCAGGGTTGGATCAAAGCCACTCCCTTTTTGTCTCTTAAGCATAAAGAGAAGTTTAGAGCAGAAAATTGCATTAAGGATCCTCCCATCGAAACTTCCAAGGACACAGTTGAGGACACTGAGGCCCAGAGGGGGCTGATGTGCGTGCTACTACCTAGCATTATAATGAATATCATCATCGGGGCGCCTGGGTGGATCAGTTGGTTAAATGTCCGACCTTGGCTCAGGTCATGATCTCACGGTTCATGAGTTCAAGCCCTGTGTTGGGTTCTATGCTGACAGCGCAGACCCTGGAGCCTGCTTCAGATTCTGTGTGTGTCTCTCTCTCTGCCCCTTCCCCACTCATGCTCCCTCTTTCTCAAAAATAAATAAACTTAAAGAAAATTTTAAATAATAATAAATATTATTATAGCTTATATTCAGGAAGGTTTTCCTGCCGTAAGCACTTCATGTAGATTTCCAACTCAGCGAGGTATCTATTTCAATTATTCCCATTTTGCGGATGACAAAACTGAGATTTATTGGTTTAAGAAACTTGCCCAAAGTCACATAAGCTAGCAATGGGAGGCCCAGAGAAGACACTTAGGATCTTGACTCCAATTCAACTCTTTCCAGAACCAAAGCTCAGTACACAGATTTCTCATGAAGATAAAAGAAAGGAAGGGAATGAGGGAGGGATGGCTTGAACACACAACATTATCTCTGTGGGGCCCTTTCAGGCTATTCTTTGGAAACCTTTGAGTGTTTTCAGAACACAGGCACAGGCCTAGCAATGTCAGAGGAGATCCCTGGCCCTCTTTACCTGTTCTCAGGGTCAGCCAAGGCCATACTCCGAGTGACATAACACATCTTGAGGGGGAT